TGAAATAAAATCAACAGCACCATCCCGTGTAACAGACTGCAGAGACAGAAAAGAGACACCCATCCTTAAGCACAGCACTACATTTTTCCACTATATGATGTGCATGCTCACAAGCCTTCATGGCACACAGACTCATGCAAGATGCAGTCTGGGGCCATATTAAAAAACCAAAGTCAGGCTGTGGGTTTTTGTGAGGCATGGACTTGTAGAGCGTTAGAAATGGGGACACCATCCAATGGCTCCCAGATACAGGAGTAAAGGACTACACGCAGCACCAATACACAAAAGAATGTCGCAAATTTCCAGAAACCTCTGCATAGGGACCATAACACTAGGAGAATGATCCTGTGTATGCATGAATTGCACAACTGTAGAGCTGTGGTATATGTTGAGCTTGAACTGGAAAGACTGATATTCAAATCTCTGCTTAGTCATGAATCACATGGAGTGACACTGAACAGTCAGTTTTTCAGCCAATGTTTCTCTGCACTGTTCTTGTGTGGTCAGATGGCGAAAGTCCCAAATCTTACGCCCCTGAACAACTTGGGAAGAAAAGTGGGGAGGAAAGCTGTTTAGGCCCACACACTTCAATGAGACAGAATCTGCTGAAACTGCCACAAGAGAAACACAGAGCCTATGCACACAGATAAAGATTACAGTGTGAAAGAGGCAAAGAACAAGCAGGCACAGGATCAAAAGGGAAAAGGGTAATCGGACTTAAAATAGGACAATATTTTGATTAATACATATACAACTTCCAAAATAGACCCAGATAGGTGGAAAGGAGTCTAACTGCCTCCAGATTATCTACCTATTAATACTTGTTGGTATGCAGATGTGCTGCTTGCAAAAATAACCTCAGACCAAGAGCAATGTGCTCTTATTGGATCTGAATGAAGACACTGCAAGAACCAGCAGGCTTAGCAAAAGAAGTTCTCTCCGAGAAGCCAACACTACCAGCTTATTTTACACATTTTTAAATGTCAGTTCCTTCTGTACAAGACAACAGCCAGTCAAATGGTTGACACCTGATGAGAAAGAAACCTAGGGGAGGAGAAAGTAAATAAAAGAGGCATCAGAGCTGGGTTCTTCCTTCCTTCCTTGTTTAGACACTAGGATGGAATTGATTAGAATTGGACTCACAGAAAGAAGATGGAAGAATTAAACAGCCATTGGTTGTTGTGGGTTTTCGCGAATACATTAAACAGCCATTGTTTTCCACTATGTGAATGGGAACAGAGACCAATTGTTCTGAACACAGCCAAAGATCCCAAAAAATTCACAAAGGGAATGGGTAACTATTATATAAAGTCACCATTGGGCTCTAGGCTATGGTCAGAAAGGTCAGCAAACATAAGTAGGTCCTCATCTCAAACTACTGTACTGCCTTAAAATGGATCTGGAGTTTATGCCAAATGCAGGATATTTTGCCAAGATCTGAGGTCTTGTGATATGATTAATGAGATCCCTTCTAGCCTGATAGCTCTTGGATCTGAAAACACTGCCCCGTTATCATCTCAGTTATTTGCCAATTGCCACATTTAGCATGCCTCCTGATTCTTATGCTTCTCATGCAGAAGACACGACTGATAATTCTTCACCAAAGCACAGGCAAAATATTCCACATGCACTCTGTGTATGTAGAAGTGGCTGGTGTGGCAGTTGGGAGGTACGTGGGATGGGCTATGGAGATACCAAAGCACAGATCAAACGGAGACTAAAAACATATTCCAAGCCGAGAAAAACAAACTTGGAACTTCTCAAAGAGTTCCAGCAGCCCCAGGAAGTCTCATTAATGCTACACCCTGCTACAAAACAATGCACCTACCATCCTGTTTTAATTGCCAGAACAAACTTGTTTAAAAGAACTGCAGGTCACTGTTAAATGCACTGAACTGCTTTTGTCATAGTCTGTCCCTGTTCAGCTCACTTTCAGAATCTGGGAAAGGCCCAAATATGGACTGAAACTAGAGTGCAGACTTCAGTCTGCATTCTTCCTACGCATGAACACTGGCTTTATTGAGCAGGTAAGAACCATCCTCCAATCAAGAGAAATGCATCCCTTGGGACTGGGGAGAAAGCTATTGATCCGATGGAGAGCTAGTAAGGTATACTGAATAGACTGCTGGAGTAGAGTTCAAATCTCTGCTTGTCCATGGAAACTCATGGGAGAAGACAGGTGGAACTGGTAATGGTAAACCAGCCCTTGAATATTTTACATACCTTAAAATCCTATTAGGATTGCCATGAATCAGATGCAACTTGACAATATATTAACAACAACTGGGCCAGGTTACTTTAAAACAGTCACATGCTCTTCAACAATAGCTGCTTTTCCCTATTATGTGCACTGGTTTGCTGACAGCTATTGAATTTTTACTTAACACTTGGCAGTCACCTATAAATAGTTTTACCTGTTGGACCTGTAAGATGAAGTCTCTCTCTGCTAAATAGATAGCCCTGAACATCTTTGCTTGGAGATCCCTTCGGATTGCATCGTGCCCTTGATTCAGTCAGGTGGGGACCACCCAGGACCTGACTGAATCAGGGACATGATGTAAAAGAACTGCACTATTTTCCTTCATCAAATACTGGTCGGTGTGGCATGTTACACTCCATATTATATTAGGTATGTTTCTATCTAATTGACATCATTAGAATGTAAGCCACACAACTCAGTTATGACTTGAGAGACTTTGGCATGCATAATCTTCTCTTGATTAGGCTGATTATAGGATTTTGAATGCATTTACCTGCGATTACAGTCACTTAAGTTCTAAGCACTGAGATCAATCACATACCCATTTAATCAGGACTAAGGAGGAGAAGTACAGTGGGGAGCCAGGATGATGCCAGTAACTAGACTCAGGTATCTCCACATACCTGTGCATTTGTCTGCTTTAGAGGTGCACAGTACAGAAATGTTTATCTCACAAGTGAAAGACTCTTTCCTGCAACTCAGTACGTTCCCCAATATGGTCCTGATTTTTACCTCAACCTGCAGTTACACACACAAACACTGCCCCACACACTCTCTCATGCACTGTACATGATCTGCCTGGAGCTTGTTGATTTCTGCAGCCTCCAGCTGGCCATTAACAGTTTCCGACAGCAACCTTTGTTTTGCTTTTTTCGTGGGATGACGCATCCATTTCCAGGCTTGCGAGGACTGTTTCCTTTTTCAAAGAACAGATCATGGACAGACCAAGCCTAAATCCATCTGTGCTACAAGTGCTGCCCAGAGTGCAAAATCCAGGCAGACACATCAGAACTTTAGCCCAGCTATCATTCCCTCTTGTTCTTCGTAGCACATGATCTTTAATGTTATTTTTCTCTTTTTTGTTAAGCTGAAGTACCCAAAGACTTCTTGGATTCTTGCATCCTTCAGTCTGAAATTTCACACCATCAAATGGCCCCAGCATTTCTTAATATTTGATCAACTATTTCTAGAATAAATCCAGCATCAAAGACAGAGACCAGATTCCAGATGTGGGGCAAAACTCAGAGACGTAACTCCCAGAGTTACAACATGGGAGTCTGGGAATTTAGTTGTTTTTTAAAGTAATTATTTCCAAACTCATGGGCAGCACCAATCTGAAGAGGTGGTAGCATAACCCAGTTGCTTCTCAACAAAACCTAATACAACTCACCGTTATTGCCAGACAAAAAGAGGTTTTAAAAAGTTCCTGCTTTTTAGATAGCAGGTGACTGGGAGGGGGGAGTTTTTAACAGACAGGTTACAAATGTCCATCCAATAGCAGCTTCTGCAGTCTAAATAATGAAAAGCCTGAAAAATGGTTAGAAGCAAATAACTTGCTGCTGTTGTTTTAAATCAGAGCCAAGATACCTATAAATATATTTGAATCTGTGTGTGTCTGCATACTTCTCAGATCTGGACCTGTTAGTAACTCTCAATTCCAGTTAGATTAACAGTTTCAAATTATTACAACAGTCTTGACTAAAGATCATGACAAATAATAATATATGCAGTCCACATGACACACTGGTCCCGTAATTGACATTTCTTGCCCTTCCCAGTTTCTTATTTCCACACGTCTTGCCCAGATAACGAATTGACAGGTGGCATAGCATAGGCATCCTTCAGTCTCGAAATTGACATTTCTTGCCCTTCCCAGTTTCTCATTTCCACACATCTTGCCCAGATAACGAATCGACAGGTGGAGAAGCAGAAATTAAGCATCCTTCAGTCTCGAGAGACTATGGTAACATGCTCTGAATCGAGGAGGGTCCTCTCCAGAGCATGAAGCCCGGGTAAGGAAATATGGAGGATAGGCTGTTACCCAAGCAGCAGATCCCCCCTCTCGACAGGTGGAGAAGCAGAAATTAAACACAGATGCTTGGCTTCAGCTCCCTTATTCCACTCCTCACTTTCCTACTGCAACTACTATTAAATCTGAAACATATCTGCTGCATTCCCTGTTCCCAACTAACTGTGTTCTTAAAAGGTTGTGGATGCAGAAAAACATGCCAAAGACATGAAGTCCCAGCAGAAGGCTTTTCAAAAGCACATAAACTATGGATGACTAAAAGGAGTTGCAGGACACAATTCTTTGACAACATGATTCTTCAACAATAGCTACTGTCATTGATGGATGTCACCCCCCCTCCTGTTTAGTCCCACAAGAGCATGCCATGATGTATCCTCCAGTATGGAGCTGATTTAACACAATCCAGCTTCTCCCCACTTTACTACCAATCATGTCCACATTTGAAAAGATACAAATTTCTCTCAGATCTTTCCACGTCCTCAAAATTTCCAGTTATTTCTAGTAACTATCATTCTTTCAGAAAACCTTTTGCATTTCTTGGCACAAATTCAACCACCCTACATTTTAAGGGCAGAGTATGTATAATTCAGTTAACCAAAAAAAAAACTTCTTTCATTCATCAGCAACTCTCTCAGACCTTCCAGTAACATTCCCCCTCGACACACACACCTCCTTTCCCTTCTCAAAGAAAAACTGACAGATGAACAATACCTGGTTCATCATGCTTCCGAAATCCATCCCGCTGGGCTGTTTTGTTTCACAGGGCACCTTCGCCGTAAATGTTATTAGATCCAAGGGGCAGGAAACTGTCGGCCTCACCTTTATTTAGCTTTTCCCACCGTCATGGCCAGCAAGAGCCAGAAAGTTGTTTGTGCAAAAGTTGCTCAGCACAGATTGTGTTAGTTAAAGCTGGCAGTGAAAAAGGAGTTACACAGTATTCTGCTGGAGTGGGACAAAAGCCCAAGTCTTGGATTCAGGCATTGGTGAAGGAGAAGACAAGACCTATTTGCCTGACGCTTTCTGGAGTGGACAGCTTCGGAGAGCAGTGTGCAGTGATTAAGCAGAGAGGGAAAAGCTTTCAGAAATGCCTGGAAAGGGATTTTCTTCCTTCCCAATCTCCACCTTATTAGCACAGCCTTCTCCACCCCCCACAAGGCATCGCTGACCAAGTACAATATTGCACACGCCCAAAAACAACACCACTAGCTGTGTGGGGCTCTTCCCCTCCCCTCCTTCAGTTTTAAAGGGCATGGCATCCCTAAACCAGCCTGGATGAAGAATCAGGGCTGGAGTTGAGGGAGTGGGGCAGTGCACGTTGTGTGGAGAGAAGAAAGAAAAGAATCAGGGGGAGAGTGAAATAAAACATTATAAGCCAACTCCATACAAACTGGCTGCCTGCCTAAGTCTTATCAGTTCATCCAGACACAGGGATGGAGTTAAAAGTCTGTCATGTCTGCCATGTCGCTGTGGGGGAGATATGGGGTAAAAGTACACACAGAGAAGGAGGGCTTACTCCCTGGGAGTTTTCTGAAGTTTTTTGCACCCTCAACTCTTGTTTCAGCACCATCTCAACAGAATTAATTCATTTTGCCCAGCTCTCTACACACACGCAGCTGACTGACCGCGCAATTCACACTCAACAACGTGCCGACTACATTAAGTTTAGAATGGGCCAGGGACCCTTGTGCCAGCACCGCCGCCCATGCGCCCGCAGAACCTCCTAGTACTGGCTGATCTGACGTTTGCCAGAACAACTTGACCTGCCAGTCCATGCACTGTACTGGCTAAGACCAGTCAGCAAAAAAAAGAAAAAAAAAGGCAAAAATGGGGTTGCAGGAGGAGGGGAGGAGGTGAATTATGCCAAATCCAAACCCCTCACAGCCACGATGCTGGCATAAAACGAGGTCAGGATGAGGGTAGTCCTCACTAAATTTAGTGAGGATGGCATGTGAAGGAGGGGTAAAAAAATCCAAATAGAATGTGTTTTACGATTTTAGGCGGGGCACATTTAAAAAGCTACTTTAAAACATTTCTGTAAGGGGGAAAAACTCAGAGTAAACCAAGAACTGTTCCAGACAGGGCCTTCATGTCCAATTTAATTTCCCTGTTCATTTCTGATCTTAACGAGACTACCTCCACCACACACACATGAGTTGTCTTTGGTTTGGTTTGTGCCCTCATGTGGCATTTCCCTTCCCAGTCCTAAACTTACCTTTTCTTCTTCTTTTCTTTTCTCTTTTCTTTTAAAAAGGCCTTTAATATCTGCATCCAAACGTATGAGGGAGGTTGCACTATGGCACATTTTCAAATCTTTTTTTTAAGTAACAAGAAGTGGGGAATGAGAATTTGGAGGACCCACAGCTCCCTCTCCTACTCAGCAGGTAGCACCCATGGCAAACCACCCAGAGACTGGCGAAACGTTAGGAAGAACAACCTTTAAAACACGGCCAAAGAGCCCGAAAAACCCACAACAACCATTAGATCCCGGCCGTGAAAGCCTTCGCGAATACACACCCATAGTTGTTTGTTGGTAGCAGGACAAAGAAGGCGGCAATGATTTTTAAGTGCCTGAGGAGCAGCAGAGTTCCTCACTCCTAACTTTTGGGGGAAACTCAGTTTGGAGAGGAATCCTTGTAAATTACGTCTCGGAGCCAAGTGGCAAAAGTGAGATAGAACAAGGTGATAGAAATACTTTGTCTGGTGGGACATTGAGCTAGAGCATTTCTCCCTGGTATTGTGGGTTTTTTTTTTCTCTCAGAGGAATTTGTTAATTAATAAGGGGGAAATCACTGTTCTGAAAAACGATCTCCTCTTGCTTACACTCCAAAACTCTCAATCAATTCTACCACCTCACTGTTGCATGTATAGAAAAGGAACCACAGACATCTCCATACACTATATACTCTTCAATGGGGTCACTACTGCCACCCCCGGCAGGCCATCTGCCCTTGCCCTCACCTCCCACCCCTGAAAGCCTGGGCAGAACAGCCATTCTGGACTCTCAAGAAGGCTGGGAGGAGGGAAGCCCAGGTGTTTCCAGGGATCTGGGTGATGAAAAACACCTCACAAATCAGGAGGGCCCACCAGAAGCAGTTAAAGGAGGGTGGGGAAGAAGTTTTGGAGTTTTCCTGACTCATGACACCCGGCAACGCGTCTACAGAGGAGGAGATCCTGGGACTCGGCAACAAAAGAACTACAACACCAAGACTTCAGTGGACTCAGTGAAGAGGCCTGTTCTGAACTGGCTGTTTCCAGGAAACTAGTGGAAGAAACTCAGTCCTCTCAGATGTGAGAGGGCAAAGATGGGGAACCACTGTTGAAAGTGCCTGGCCCAATAAAGAGTATCTCTTACAGGCAACCTGGAAGTGTTGGGGCTATTGGTGAGAGACAGCACTAGGCAGAGTCAGACTGCAGCTGGTGCAGGCAGTAGATTTTGGGTATTGGGCAAAGGACTGAAAATTGTTAGTTGATTCCTTTGTTAGAGAGAAAGGCATAAAAGATTCTCTCTTTCCTGTGGCAAAACAACTTGGCTGGTTTTTGGTACAGGGCATCTTTGTTCAAATACCACTTGCTATTCCATCTCAAACACCACTTGGTATTCCATCTCAAGCAACAAATTGCCTTGGACTACTCCTCATCATGGAGACATCTGTGCTGCAAGGTCAGAAGACCAGCAGTCGTAAGATCGAATCCATGCAATGGAGTGAGCTCCCGTCGCTTGTCCCACCTCCTGCCAACCTAGCAGTTTGAAAGCATGCAAATGTGAGTAGATAAATAGGTACCCCTGCAGTGGAAAGGTAACAACATTCTGTGCCTAGTCACGCTGACCACATGACCACGGAAGCTTGTCTTCAGACAAACGCTGGCTCTACGGCTTGGAAATGGGAATGAGCACCACATCCTAGAGTCGGACATGACTGGACTAAATGTCAAGGGGAACCTTTAACTTTAACTTTACCTACCCCTCATCAGATATATTCTTATAAACAGATGTCCTGGTTTCTATACAGCATATAGAGCAGGCTGTTCCCAAAGTTATAAAATCTCACACAAAGGCCCACAGGCACATGCATACACACACACATTGGGTAACACACAACCTTGGATAACGCAGGTGTTCTTGAACTGCAACTCCCAGAAACCCTGGTGAGCACAGTTGGTGGTAAAGGCTTCTGGGAATTGTTGCCCAAGCACACCTGGATTACCCAGGGTTGTGAACCACTGGCCTATAATGTCTCCACAAGACACAGCCTTATAAAACATCTTCAGCATACATCCCAATTTCCACAGATCCTTTCAAAACCATTCAAGGAGACTCAAGGAATATGTAGGCAGACAACCTCACTGAAATACACTCTGATTTGTACACATAATCCATTTCTGAGCTGTGTGCTTAACCAGCTATCCATGCCAACTCATTCACAGAAAAGGAGGGAGCCATTTTGCCACCCTTCAAAATATAATTACTAGATGAGGTGCCAGCTTTTTCCATAACAAAGCACAATGAGATGCAATTACAAAGTGTGTATATCTGGGTCTTTGAGATCAAAACAGAAAGGAATAGAGAGGCTGCATTTTTCTGAACCAACTGTAAGTTACATGAAAAGGTTTAACCTTTTCCCTTGCTTACTCTTTTCTTCTGCTTGTAAGCATTCTCCTCCCCCATACCACCCAGCTTCTTCTCTCCACCATCCCTTAGTTCTAGACATATGTTTTCAAGGGTACTGTATAAATGTCTGGAACGCAGTCGAGTGGAAGGGAGACTGCCTGGAAGGGGTCATGCAGGAGAGCGGAGAGATGAAAAATGTGCCATGAACAGATGTGTCCATCATAGATAACCCTGAGTGCCAAGGCTGCCTTGAAACCTCTGAGCTGTAGAAGGCAATGATGATTACTACAACAAATGCAAGTAGTTGACAACTAACAGTATTCTTTATTTCTTTTATTTTAGAACATTGAAACTGAGATGTTGAAGCAATTCAAAACAACAATAAATCCAATACACAGGAACCACACTGTTCCTTGTCCAAGGCACTGCCCTGTCGTAATGCCCATGTTTTCTCTTCTGAATCACTACTACTATAGGACCCCATTAACAAATTCCATGTTGCTGGAAGATTCTAGGTGGATCTAGTTAACATATCCAAATACTTTGGATGGTTAGACTGTTTCTTTAAGAGCAGCTCCTTCAAATATAGCACAGGAACTGGCCTCTCCCTTACTTCTGGGACTAATCCTTTTTTCCAGTTTTTTTCCCCTCTTCTTCCTTCTTTTCTTCCATCAGCTCACAGGGAGCCACAGTGTATGCATTACAGTTCCCCCACGCACACCTCCTCAGCCAAAAGCCTACCTCTCCAAGCACAGCCAGCCCTTGATGAGTCAAGCTTTCCGGGTGCCTCCCCCTCTTTCCCATCCCTACACTGCACTTTTATTGCACATCTGGATCCAGTTGTGGCCTGCACATTAGGGGCACTTGGAGGTGGCGGCTTCTAAAAGCTAGAGCAGCCAAACATCTCCAGCAAGAAGAAGAAAGGGATGTGGGGATTTTTTAAAAATCAAATAAATCTGAAGGGATTTGCTGCTGTTCCTGGACTCATCCGCAAGAGCTTCCAGAGAGGTACACCTTGGACAGAGTGCCCTGGAACTTCCTCTCCCATGCAAACTGTGTGGTCACGGTGGAATTATTTAAAAAATGAGAGTGAGCATACCAAGATGAGGTCTTGATTATGGAAAATGCCAAATATCTTAAGAGGTGTTCTAATGATCAGCAGAATGAGTATCCTCCAGACCTGCCACCATGATTCATTCTGTTTGCTCTCAGGCTGCTTTGTCTCTTTATTTCAACATCTTCCCCCCCACCCGCTACTTCTGTACAGAGCTGGGGCTTAGATAAAGAATGTGCCCAGAACAAAATTATTGTTTATAAACTGAATTTTTTTCAGTATGCAAAGTGTCCATCTGACTGCTGAGTCAGATGGATACTTTGAGATGAGAGCTTTTGAAATTATTTATATCACGTATGGGCTAATGTTTTGCTTTGAATTTTCCTATTTTTTTGCTGCAGAGGGTGGTGAATTTGCCTTTGGACAATTCTATGGATGGATCTCACTCTCATGTCTGAGGATCCCTGGCTATAGCTGGCTAGCTCACC